GGTAGAGGGGGCCACACAGCAGACAGTGGAGGTGAGCGCTGATTCGTCGCAAGGACCCAACGAGTCGAAGTCGCATGTGTTGCCCCCATCTATTACGCGATGGACCCGGCACAAGCACGGTGAATTCATGGAACGCTAAGAAATTCGTCTAGGTTCATAAGACACTAGATTGCTGTACAATTGCGTCGCAGTGTTAATTAAAAAGAGATGTTGCTCAGCATAAAGCTGCATGCTGACTTTCAGCATCACCTGATAGTGATATGTGCGTCTTAAACGGTCCTAAACTTCTGTTTCGAAATCATATTTTGGTTAGCGAATGACGGTTTTTGGCTCCAAAAGTTTTCAAGAAAGATGGATTTTGCTGAAAATTTGTCAGTGAGTAGGGAATAACTCAGAAAGTAAAATTTACCCTATGCTGATGTGTGCTTTTGCGCCAGGTATGTATTGGTATTCACCCTTAGCTTTTTTTAGGGTTCAGTACCTCAAAAGGTAAAAAAGGAACCCTTATAAGATCACTTTCTTGTCCGTCTGTCCGTGGCTCACCACCGATTTTCTCAGGAACGGGTAGACTTAGCAAGTTGAAATTTATACCAGATACTGTGGTCTATGGTCCCTATTAGGTGTATAAAAATCAAAGTTCTGAGTAAACACGATAAAAAGATATGGGCAAATTTCGATTTTCGCGAAAAATGTTAAGTACCAAAATTTACCTTAATTTTCAACTTTTTTTATTTTTCAGAATTTTCACTTTACTTGTGCTGTAAAACCATGCTTTTAACCAAAATTGTCAATTCTAGGTATTCCGGAAGTACCCTATAGGTTTTGGGTCGATAACCTATATAGTAGGCCCGTTGACCTAGAATCACAAAATTTTGCAAAAAGAAACGTCTTACAGCACAAGTAAAGGAATAATTTCAAAAAATAAAAAAAGTTGAAAATTAAGAAAAACTTTGGTACTTACCAATTTTCTCGAAAATCGAAAATCTGGGTAGGCACGGCACCCTCGGTGTTCGACTCGTACCTGACCGGTTTTTTAATTACCACCTTCTAGGACTTCTTAAAACAAAACAGGAAGCAATAGAGAAATGAATTCTAAGCTAAATTGTGCTAAGAAATTTTTTGGGAAATCAATATGTTTCGTGATATTCGTACGTCAATATTTTTCAAAAAACGTTTTTTAATGGTTTTTTACAAATAACTCAACTAATCGGCGGAAGCCTAGTGGTTAAGGCATTGGACTTGCTATCAAGAGGTCGTGGCTTAGAATCCTAATACAAGCACCGACGTGACCCCATTCCTAATAGAAGCAATTTTGCTTAGCTGGCGGGCTTCACGGGAATACTAATAATTTCGGTTAAGTAAGCCTTTAAGATAATATATAAATACTAGCTGACCCAGCAAACGTTGTTTTGCCATATACATTACTTCAATGTTTTTTGTAAAAAAATAATTGGTGTATGAAAAATAGATGTTGGCCGATTCTCAGACCTACCCGATATGCACACAAAATTTCACGAAAATCAGTAGAGCCGTTTCGAAGGAGTTCAACTTCTAACACCGAGAAACGAGAATTTTATATATTAGATTAATTTTATCAAAAAAAAAAAAAAATGATTATAATTATACTTAATAAAAAAACAAAGAATTTCGTTTTTTTTCAATGCAGGTCCAATACAATGTTATAGCTCATTGAAGGTAGGCCTTATTTTAAACAAATTATTTAAAGATTTCAACATTGTATTACGGAAAAACTATATATTTTACGATAAAAGTGCTCAGACCCTTTTTAAAGTACATTAAAAGACCTTTAAAATGCGTTTTTAAAAAGGCCTCTGGCATAAAAACTAACGGAGTTATGGCGAAAATAAATTTTAGCCTTCTCATTACTATCCTAATTGGAATGAATGTTACACATTTACCAATTAGTTTATTTTAACTGTTAAATAATGATACAATAGTTTGACCAGTTTAAAATGCTTATTTGTGATAAAAATAAGTTTAAAGTGGAATACGTCTTTTTGATCCATAATAAAAAAAAACTTTTTTAAAAATTACTCAGAAAATAAACTATATACGTGAAAAATGCTGGAGTAAAAAATGCTACCTGCATTGTCATTCACAAAAATAAATAGTTTACTGTAGCTCAGAAATTATTCGAGAGATGGCTTGTCAAAGTTAGCAATAGGGTGGTCTGAACAGTTTCCGACCTAACAAAGATACAAGACCTTTTTTCAGTTTTTTTTTATTTTTCAACATAGTCTCCATGTAACTCAACTCACTTCTCCCAGCGTTGCTTCCATCTCTGTAACCCGTCCAAATTGTACTAGGCGTTTTTCTCTGCAAAATAATTGTTCACGAGGGTGATTGCCTCTTCATTTGACGAAAATCTCTGTCCTCCGAGCGCATTTTTTCGCTTGGGGCTAGATCATCATCATCATCATCAGATCATGGGGTGAGTAAGGCGGATGGTCAAGCAGTACCAACCGTAATTCGTGGATTTTCGCCGTGGCAACCACTGAGGTGTGAGACGGTGTGTTGTCTTGGTGAAACAGGATTTTCTTTTTCTGCAAATGTGGCCGTTTTACCGCAAGTTCTGCCTTCAGCTTGTCAAGTAATCATGCGTGTATGCTCGTGTGATGGTTTTTCCTTTTTGGAGATAATCGATTAAAATAACTCCCAAAACAGTCGTCATAACTTCCCCCAGTTTTTGCCTTTTTTGGAGCCGGTTCCCCCTCTGCAGTCCACTGTTTGGACTGTATTTTTGTTTCGGGCGTATAATGGTGTATCCAAGTTTCATTTACAGTAATTAATCGGCACCAAAACTCGGATTTATTGCGCCTAAACTGCGCCAACAGAGCGTTGGAAATGTTCATTCGAACACGTTTTTGGTCTAACTTGAGCAAACGCGGCACCCAACGCGCGGAGAGCTTTCTTATGTCTAAATGTTGATTTAAAGTATATGGTATAGAAGAAAGCTAACGTTTCACTAATACTCGTATTACAGGTATTAATTACTTAATTCGAGTAGCATTTTAAACATCTCAGCACACATGACATCAGTAAACATGTTTAAAGGTTTATTACGAAGAGACAAAGCAACTAAACTAACGCGTTGAAGGCTCTGTAAGTTGTAAAAAAAAATCAACTACCTACGAGTACATACGAATGGGAACAATGGGTTTAAAGTCAGAGTTCGTGGACCGTGAAACCTCGATAAAACATCGAAACTGGCCGCGACCTTGAAGGCTCAGAATTTAGTAAACTTTGCGTCATCCACAATTAACATTATAACATCATTACCACGTAGGTAACTAGAACAATTTCTTTGTCATGGGTAATGCTAGTAATTCTACTTATTTAAATAAAGAAGCTATACACCATTTGTGGACGTTTATGAATACGTCCGTATAATAAATGGATTCCGCCCACGTATCGCATAATCTAATGCCTTTAGGTATCTGTATATTCATTCCAACCTATCCATTTACAGAATTCGTGCTGTCTGGTTTGTAGCTTTTGTTCATAATCAATATTATTAAAGTAATATTAATCTATTAATGGTAAATTTAATAAGTAAATAAATTCCTATTTATTTATCTGTCTCTGTTTAAAACAGAATTGCCTAAAATGGTCCGTTATATGTTATATGGTGATTTTCGATTTTTTGGTTCAATTTAAATATTAAACCGGATGCTTTAGTATTTTTACAATTTTCAATGGAATTTGGCGTTAAAAATTTATAATAACAACATGAGTTTGATTACAAACTATGTAACAATCTGCTTATTTTTTTTTTGATTTGGAAAAACAATATACATTAAATTACATAAAAATATAGACTTCGCTCTTATCCGTAAGAACTCGTACGTCGTAATTCGAATATTTGACATTGATAATATTTGACATCAGATTCGGTCACGGTATTGTACGTAGCCGCGTTCGCGAAAGTTTCGTTCCAGTTAAAGATCTCCATAATATCGCTATTATAGTGCAGTGTGGTAAGTATGTTTCCGTATCTGGCCTGTATGAATTTAGACACGAACGAATAAAGGTGTTCATCTTGATAACACGCCAAATGATGTCATTTTGTGAAACAAAAAAACAAACCTTGTTCAGAGTCAGCAATCGCGCTAATAAAGTTTCTGTGTAAAATTGCCGTGGTGACTAGGCAATTAACCTGTCACTTCTTACCTGAACGATTCATTGCCAGTAAGCGTTAGTTTGGTCTCGAGAACTGTAGCCGTAACTGTTGTAGTCTGTGTTATAACTAATTTTAACAGAAAGCAAAATTTTAACAGAAAATAGATTGGAAATGAAAGCTTTATACGTAGGCATATAACATATAGAGTGAAAGTGATTTGACCTTAACAAGATTTAATTAGTTGTCTTATAATAATTATATAGATGGTCACGTTACATGTTCTGTGAAAATAACGGCATCTTGTCATATCTCCATATAATAAATGTTTACTGTAAGATTATTGTGACATTACAAAAGCACGCGTGTTAATGCAGAATATTTAGTTTGTATACTGCCGGGCCGGAGGACGGAGCTCGCAGCACGAACGCATGTTCGTTTCCACCTTGAAACGTTGAGTTACGTCAGTCTGTGCGACTGAGCTGGCCGTAAACAAAATAAACGTAGCAAAAAACGAGCACATTTTACTTTAGTATGTAGGCGGCACAAAATACTGTGCTAAGCATTTTAAGACAACGCGAATCCAGTGTTATTGATGTCAGTGAACTCCAATGGTTTGCTCTCGGACGGCTGTGAACGCGAACAAGTGAATAACGTTATTTCCGGAGTCTCAAGTATCGTGTTTACGTCATTTTCTTCCAGACCATATGACTCGATTAGTTTGTGATTCACTGTGTATATCGATGACTGTGGGTATCTACATAATTTTTGCTTCAATCTCAGTTGCCGGCGACTCTTTTGTTTGAGCTCAGCATACCGATTTAGTTTATTTGAAGTCTTTAATAGTATTCTTATTATCAAGATGGATGAAGAATTAATGTGGAGAGGTTTTTATGATAAGTTGCAACAGCAAAAATCTGTTGAGCAGCAAGAACATGACAGCAAGTAAGTTTTGATTTTATTTTATTTGTCTTTCGCCTTGTTACCGGCTTCAACAGTCACTTGTTAAAAAAAAGCATTATGTTATTCTTGAACAAGAACTCGTTGTAACTAAGTACCTAATCGAGACATTGTATTGGATTATTGCTATTTTAAATGCAATGAGAGCAAGCTGGGTGAACATTCGTTCTGTTAAATCCTTAACTTTCGGCTTTATTCTTTGCCTGTAGAAATATAATCAATTGTATATGTATAATTCATTTGTATGTGACTCATAATACATAATTTATTCATACAATAGTAATTGTTCTAAAATACTAAATTATTTGAATCAAGCACGTAATAAAATAACAGTGATTTAGATATTGCAAGTTTAAGTTAAGAGATTATAAATTTTTGTATTGATAAGATTTGATAACAAGGACCCGTCAGAACGACAACGACGAACGATAGAACGAAAAATTACCTTTTATTATTTATTTACAAGAGGCGGTGGTCATTTACCATCGGGTGACCCGTATACTCGATAACCTAGTTAGCAAATTATTATTTAGGTGTTTTTTTTAAATATTTTTGAATCATATAGTACGTTACAAGTTTATTTAAAAAATGCTTTTATCAGAGATCTAAAGGTTGTCTGTCCTTTTTTTCATAAAAAAATATGATTAATAAATATAAAAACTTCACTAAACGAAAATGAAATGAGAACAATGAATAAAGTGTTTGGAAACACACCACTTAAAACAGCCGGACCGCATTCTTTCTTTTATATGTTAATATGTAATTATTGTAATTAATAATAATTAATTAAATTATTTATTGGAGTAACTAAGACTCAGTACAGACAGAGTAATATGTAGTTCGATTAACGTTTAAGTAAAATAAAAGTATAGACGAAAAGTATAGGTACCACGAAAATTTAGTTCTTGGAAGTACCTTTTTTTTTAAATCGTTTTATTTTTAAATACAAATGCGATTTTAATAAGAAATTAAGAAAAATGATCCAATAAAATACATTTTAAATTAAACAAACAAGAAAGGTAGGCAAGAAGAAGTTGAAAATAGAAAAAAATTAAGAATACAGACATAAAAGAAAACAAAACATTAACCTACATTATTTATTTACTTTTAACTTCTAAAGCAATGTCTTGTCTACATTGCTGCCTTAATAACTTTACTCTGTCTATCATATTATTGCTGTAATGCAACAGGCTTGTTTGGTAGCCTCGGCTAATCTTGAAGGTTTTTTAAAATTTAATGCTATTTACGCTTTGATGTAGCCAAAATTCGATCTAAAATGGTAATCTAGTAATAAAATAAAATAAAAGTAGTCTTTTGTTAGTCTAGCCCTAATGCAATTCGAAGTACAATGCCATCTAGTGATTAACAGCAACAACAGGCAGTAACTTTCAGTGGTCGGATCTAAGGTATTATCTTTTACAGTATGTATTGTGTAATGTACATTTATTGTAAACTATACAATATTTCTTTCAAAAGTTGACTTTATTAATATTATACAAGCATTAAAAGAATAAAACTTGAATTTAGAAATGTTTTAAAATGTGTTTACGTAAATCGGAACGGTCGGTTTTTTTCCTTTACGGTCAACTGTCAAAAGTGTCAAATAAATATTCACTTGGTAATGGTTGATCCGTAGAGGTTTAAGTTATTCGTGAATTTGTGTCCTATCTCAAAGTTTTACAATAACACTTTTACTGATTAAATTTCACTATTACAACATTCTACTTTAAATCAAATTTTAACATACCGGTTACGTTTGCAAATTGTGTGAGTTAATGATCCGTGTCGAACTTCAAACATAAACAAGATACCACAGCGACATTAAGATAAAAAGGATTAGAGCAGTTATATTCATTATTTATTACGTAAGCAAGCGTTCGGACTATACCTATGGACCTGCTGCGTTCTCATTTAACAAGAAACTTCAGAATTTACCTCAATCAAACTAGGCAGATGCATTTGCTCAAGAGTAAAGCGTACATCGACAGTAAATGGGTGTCGGCACGAAGTAATGCCGTATTTCCGGTGTTAAATCCCGCTGATGATTCTGTAATTACTGAGGTGCCGGATATGGAAGCTGCAGATGCTAAATTAGCCATTGAAGTTGCTTTTGACACTTTTAAATCTTGGAAAGAAGTGACAGCCAAGGAGCGCTCGAAAATTCTTAGGAGGTGGTTTGACATATGTGAACAGAACAGTGACTACCTAGCAGAAATTATTACAGCCGAATCTGGTAAGCCATTAGCTGAAGCTAAGGGTGAAGTTGCCTATGGTAATTCCTTTTTAGACTGGTTTGCTGATTGTGCACGTCATATTAATGGAGAAGTTGTACCTAGCCCATGGCCTAACAAGCAGATCATTCTTACAAGACAACCTTTGGGTGTTGTATCAATTATTACTCCATGGAATTTTCCTTTTGCGATGATAACAAGGAAAGTAGGTGCATTAATGGCGGCTGGCTGTACATGTGTGATCAAACCATCTGAAGATACTCCTCTGTCAGCACTGGCTGCTGTCGAGTTAGCAGAAAAAGCAGGAGTGCCTAAAGGAGTAATCAATGTTGTCACAACAAGCAGAAAGAATGCTCCTGCTGTTGGAAGTGTTATGTGTGAAGATGATAATGTGCAATGCATATCTTTTACTGGTTCTACTGCAGTTGGCAAGATATTGTATGGACAGGCAGCTAAAGGTATTAAGCGTGTTTCATTAGAATTAGGTGGAAATGCCCCATTTATCGTTTTCCCAAGTGCTGATCTTGAGCACACTTTAAATCAAGCAATGCTTGCTAAATTTAGAAATAATGGACAAGCTTGTATTGGAGCCAATCGATTTCTTGTGCATGAAGATGTGTATGATAAATTTGTTACTGGTTTTAAGGAGCTTATTGCAAAGAAATGTATATTAGGACCTGGCACCCAAGAAGGAGTTACGTGTGGACCCTTGATCAACATTGAGCAAGCTAAAAAAGTATCTGGGTTAGTTGAAAATGCTATCTCTAATGGTGCTCGCCCATTAATTGGAGGAGAGTTTGCTACTGATCTTGGTAACAAGTTTTACAAGTCAACGCTTTTAGTAGACGTAAAACCTGAAATGAAAATATTCAACGAGGAGATATTTGGCCCTGTTGTACAAGTTTTAAAAATAAAAAGTGAGGAAGAGGCATTAGCAATAGCAAACAATACCAGGACTGGCCTTGCAGCATATGTTTTTACTAAAGACCTTGGACAAGCTTTCAGGATGTCGAGAAAACTAGATTTTGGTATGGTTGGTATTAATGATGGCATAATATCTGGCGCAGAGGCAGCTTTTGGTGGGATTAAAGAGTCTGGCATTGGTAGAGAAGGTAGCTTACATGGAGCACTTGAGTATACTGATATAAAATATACTCTGATGTCCGGGCTAGATAAGTAAAAACACAATTAAGACATTATGTAGCTATACAGTGCTTGCTATAGGTAAACAAAATAATTATCATTGATATTATTAGAATTATGCATTTAAAATGTAACCTTTTCTATTTTGTTTCTTTATGTTGTGTCATTTGTAAGTTAATGACAGCATGTTATAAGTAAGAATTGTTTCGCTTCTATTATTATCACTATTTTTGATGTTATATAGTTGTTATTAAAAATTTGGTAAGTTAATTTTGTTATAACTAAATTTAAAGTCATTTATAATATTGTTTGCTTTATCTGTTTATAAATAATGAACCATTTTTAATAACTCAAAGTAACAATTATTTATAACTGTGATTTGTTTTAGTTAGGATAAGATTTTATATTAAGACAAAAAGACAATATGTTATACAAATAAGTAATGTTAAACTATATCACTTGTCTTCCATATCTTTAGTCAAGAGTATATTATAGTTATGTATGTCATAGAATGTTTAAAGAAATAAAATGTGCTATAATATATATATTTTTTACATACTCTTAGCACCTTTTCACTTCTGTGTTGGCAACACTGTTTCTAACCATAAATCTGATAACCCTGCTGTAGAGCTAAACAAAAGGACTAAGTGAGGGAGGGACTATTTCCATTCTCCCCTACAGTTGTTGTGTTTTAAGACTTAAATCACAGATGATTGATAATTCAAGAATCAGAATTAAAACTTAATTTGCAGTAAACCAGATGGCTTCAGCTCATTTCGAGCGACATGTCCGGCTCACTTCTTTTTTAAGTACACTAGTCGTTTTGTTAAGTCTGTGTGTATGTGCTTTTTTCAGTACAGTAACAGTTATCTCTAGTGATAACATAAAATGATAGCGACTACATTTCTATTGTCTAAACATTTAAAGGACAATGGCAGGTACATAATTTTATTTGAAGTCAAATGACAGCGTTTAAATATCAAAAATGCCTATAACCCTTGAGAATTTATTCTTGAACATTCTCATATAAAAATTACTAGCGAAAGAAGTCTAGGAAAAAAGATATTGGATTTTGAATGTTTCGAGGTTAAGTACTAAAATATTGTAAATGTTTTGTTTGAAACTAGATGGCGTTGTGTGTCATATATTCGAAAATATTATTCATCATTATTATAACTTATAAGCAACCCTATTTTGCTGTAGGAAGTGTTAGCCGACTCTCTAAATGGGTGAAGGAAGGAATGGTATTTGCTTGGCATATATTGGTAAACAATAGAAAAAAATCTTCGCTTACATAGCAGGTGTAATACTAGCCATAAATACATAAATTATTTATAATAATTTGAATAAATGTACTTCAATACACATTTACACAAGGCGGGAGCATTTATTTAATTATTTAGTTATTCAACAGTCAGTAGTTGTGACATTATTTACTAAAATCTAAAGCATGCATCCATTATATTGAGATTAATGCACAACATTTTTAAGGCATCACATCATGCATAATGGAGTAACACTATATAAAATTAAAATAAACAAATATGAGAGTTTAATACTAAACAAAAGTAAAACAACCAAATAAACTACAATTGCCTTGTGAGAAATGGTATGTAAGTCATGCGTGTAAGCGTCAAACGACAAGACTATAGTCCGTCAACGTCGTGCGCGACCGTCCTGCGGGGTGACAGACGGTGGCGGGGACGAGGTACTCACGATGTCAGCGGGTAGCGGGTGGTGTAGCGGGGAAGGGAATCGTGTGTAGCCGTGTGCTAGAATGACGCGCTACCTCGCCCCCGCCACTGTCTGTCACCCCGCGGGACGGTCGCGCACGAGATTGCCGGGTTATAGTAAGTGCGACGACGACGTATCGACCATTGATATAATACTTACATAGACGAGTAATTACCGCCTAAAATCGTTGCTACTGCACATCTGTCCACAGGCATATGCGTAGCAAACGTCAATTCAGTGTTCAATGTGGCGTCAACCGAGTTGAACATAGCGACACATGACAGTAACAATCGATGCGATTCAAGGTCACAAAACCATAATAAATCATGCGGAATTACTTATCACGTGTAAGTTTATGGTTTTTGTATTGATAATATCGTAAATAAGGCTATAATTGAAATAAAACATTGATAATTGTAATTTAGAATCAGTGTTACCATTAAAAAATCATTTTTGTTTTCCCACATTAGTGGGAGAATTTATAATTTATGAAATAATATGCTTTATACTGTTTTTAAACATTTTGTCAATAATAATAAAATATAGGAAGAACGGTAGTTGTTAGGGCTGAATCGATCACTTTTTTTAGGAACCCGTTGAACGTTCACCTTCTGCCAAGCTCGCAGTGCTGGAGACTTTTGTATAAAAGAATTAATTAATTCATTCATTCATTTTTCTTAATTAATTATCAAATATAAATAACAATTGTACAAAAAAAAAATATATAAAATAAAAAAGTAAATAAATATAAATAAAAAAATATAAAAAACAATATATATATATATATATATATATATATTTTATTTGTATTTTAAAATATTAAAAGAATTTGCAATACACCCTTTGGATTATTTATTATCAGTACAAGTTGATCATTCACTTTTACTATTAAATGCCATTATTTATACATAGGTAAAAATAAGATTGTATCACGAAAGTAAAATATTCACACAAACTTATAAAAAAGAGTCTAAAAGACAATTGTATACAAAACTGATGCTTCATAGCGGAGTTTGATTTTACACTGAATATAAACCCTTTTAACCAAATGTTTCTAGTTATTTTATTATTTATACCTATTCCATTCAATTCGAAATATGTTATTTAAAATATTTAAATTAATTTAATTTATTACAAAATTGTTTTAAAAAAAAATTGTTTCTTGGTTGTTATGGGTAAAATTTCATACGGTAGTCAACACTGGCCACCATCGTAAAGTTATGTCTTTGTCTTTGTCTAATCCGAGCGATGGTATTGTTCTTGTCTCGCGTGTAAATGAGACATAAATATGTTTACTTTCAAATGTTTCGTGGTATCAAAGCTACGTCGTCAAAGTTCAAAAGTGGTTACACTTTTTTCGACGTGTGATAATGAGGTTTGCTTCTCGAGTGTTGTTTTAACTCAATGGTATCGACATTTTAAAAATATCGATGCATGTCTATTTATATGCCGTTATCAACCTACAATGTCTTTTTCTCATTACACTAAGCAGTATATTGTTTTAGTATTTTTCTGTAGGAAAATAACGTAACTATATTCTATTTATTTTGGTGTAGCAAAAATCTTTTAAAAAGAGTCAAAAATATTCTAAATTATTTCTAATTAGGTTGATTTAGTCACTACAGTACTAGTTACGGTAGCGTATGAGTAAACCCGTGGGCAGAAGCAAATTCATAATAATAATAGGTGAACCTTCGATAGATATTTAAGCCAAAGTTATAACAATCGATTATCGATAAAACGTTCCATAATATAATAATGTCATCACGCATCCCTAGTCAGTTCGTGATGGCGATTCTGACATACGTACTTAGGTCAAATACAATCTTTAAAAATATCCAATCTCTTATTAGACTTATACAACACATAGCTATAATGCTACACAAGCTATAATGATAAATCATAGAAAAAATATTTAGTAAGTTTACTGTTAGTCAATTTTTTAAACGCTTCAGTTTTAGGTAAATATGTTTCTGCCATTGTTCTTTGCAAGTCTAACTACGAAGAAGGCATTTTTGCAGGGATCCTTTTTTCAAGTAAGATCAAAGTTGGTGCACAAAACAATAGGAGGCATTCGTTTTTCTAGTTTCTCATTTTCAAAACGAAAAAATATTACCTTTTTTTTTTTCTTCAGACCATTAGTTTTTATTTTATTTATTTATCTACTTAGTTTTCCAAGACGGCCCGTATTTTAAAAGGTGTTTCAGTCGTGAATCTAGTCTTAAAACTGATTTTATGTAGAGATTTTATTAGTGAACGTCACTTAAAACGAGATTTACCGATCCACACTCAAGTGAGTGATAGCTTAGTTTAGAACGATGTTTATGTCGATATCTTTACCCAAGTATAGATTTTGTCAGATGTGATCTTTGTTTAGGCACGTAAGACAAGCTGCCACTAGTCTCAAGCAGTGATTTCTAGGGCTTTTTAGGACAAATTATCGTGTATTACGATGATTTGTTTCTGAAGAATTACGAACGATTTATTTATATACGAAACAATTTCTTGTCATACAAAATCAATTCATTTCGATTTATAATAATCTAAGTGTCTGACCCGCGTAACTTCGTGTGCTTGTCTTAAAATAAATAAAATATGCCCCGTTTCAGTTTATTGATGCTCGGTTCCTATTGGTGGTAAAACAAACGTTCTGATTAAAAAGAGTAATCCGTCAAGTACTCCTTTTTAATTTCTTTTTCATGTTACTATGCTGACACGGCGCTTTTACTTTTTCATTTGAAATTGTTAGTTAGGCATTACTGGAGCGTAATAAAACACTTAAGTAACTAGTTTAGGTCAGGTTAGGTCATTATAACTCGGGGTGTGGGGTCCGGACCTCCGCGTGGTGCACCCTGGGCAACGAATACGGCAGCGCCTCTTTCCCTAGGTGGGGGAAGCACTGACGCCTACGGCTAACTCGGGCCGAGGTGGGAAAAGCCTTCCCGAGAGTTGTTCGGAGGCTCACCGCGTGTCCCTCTGTTTAGCGGAGGGCATAGTAGAGAGCAAGCTAGGGGGCAGACGTGTTCTCTACCGCCGGCTTTGTCCAGAGGTGGTGGACAATAGTCTGATGCAGACCACAGTCCGACTAAGTCGTAAGCTGGACTGGCATATGTCTAGGCTACCTCTATAAAAAACCACGGTGCGGACTGACCCGGTCTGGTACAGACTCCGTCCGGCCCAGCCGTAATCCTGAACGGACAGGACCGGTGGCTCTTCGGAACCGCGAGGACTAAAACCTCTGTAAAAAACCCCAAGCCCACGCTCTGACGTGTGGCAATGGGCTGAGTCGCTGGAGGGAGTCCAGTGCCGAGGGCGTCCCGTCGATTACATTAGTCTTAATCGTTGCTTTTTTTAACTTTGTGTGACTCTAAGTCTTAAAGAGCAACACAATTATTATGCCATCTTTACGCGACTTAGCGCAATGTAGACATTCCCTTTGAGAATTTTAGGGTAGTGCCTGGAGTTTATGCAACGTCACCGCCCAACTGAGGATTAGCAGTAGCATTCTCCGTTCAACATCCCCGTCTAGTTGCCTGATGTACGTGGTTGTTGAACGGTGTTAGTTGCCATAGCGCCTGTGTCAGCAGTGTTGGTTTTTTGCTACTACAATGTGCCACAGCGAAGCGTGGCAGGGTATAGTAAGTATTTTAGTAGACGACTGGATGGCGTAGTGGTTTGTGTAAAGGACTGGTATTCCAAAGGTCGCGGGTTCAATTCCCGCTCAAGTCAAACATTTGTGTGCATGAACATTTAATGTTTGATTTGGTCTGGGTGTTTCTATGTATAATAAGTATGTATTTACAAAAAAAAAGTATACATGTATTTATATCAGTTGTGTAGTATCCATAGTACAAGCTCTGCTTAGTTTGGGACTAGATGGCGTTGTGTGAATGTGGTAGAATATTATTATTATTATTTTATAAAAACTGAATCGGGTAACTCGCCGAAGTCTATTTGATCACGGTAAAGGGCAGGCCATTTAAATTTGGATGAGATACTTGGACCAGGCCCTTTGTTAACAGAAATGTTGAGTCTCTACATAACTCTGTAGCTTATGCCCAGTTTCAATACGTGCATCAAACCAACACAGTTATTCGCATCAGCAGGAATAACATTTGAACGTGGACGTTTTCCGTAGGTACCTACTACTACTATATGAAGTACCCACTACGTATCTATGATTATTTACACTAAAAATGGATACATAAACAAAAAAAAAGGAAAAATAAACAATACAAAAACTCCCTACCTAATAACAACAACAAAAAGCGAAAAATAAACTGAATTATTTGTATTACTAAAAAATCTTTACTTAGTAACCATTACTTAACTATTCCCAATGAAATTCCTAATGAAAATATGATATAGTATATAAAATATAATATCACAAAGCGAAAGGAACTTCGTTCCGACCGGGGGTCCATAGACCCCTCACGCCGTTTTTATGTTTACACATTTTTTATGGAAGAGAACCAGACGAACAGACACCTGAGGAAAATAAATGTAATAAATTAAAGCAAATATATCTATAGACAAAGAGATACACTAATGTTGCCTAAAAACATAATGTAGGGTTCTATAATATGTCAACGTCAAATCATGTTGTTGTCTATTCTGTACCTTCATTTTGTAGTTTTATTCACAAGGTACAGTAATATTACTAGAAAGTTTTATTGTATGAGATGCCTTGCATGTATTAACATTACATAACTATTTAATTTTTGCTGCTTTATATAATTTTACTGCGATTCGTGACTTCGTGATTTGATATTAAAAAATTGTTATCATTGGCCTTTATAAATACAACGGAAAATCAAAAAAAAGACATGATGAAATTGCGTACTATTTTATCAAGCTACTATCAGTTCTTGTACAGTCAAAAAAGATATTCACATATGATTCAAAGGCTTAAAACAATGATCGATAGTAGATTAAAATCGACACAGAACCAACCTCTGTTCGAAGTTCTAGATCCCGCCGATGACTCCTTGATTATTAAAGTGCCCGATTTCTCTGCAGCTGATGCTAAAAAAAGTATTCACATTGCTGCTGAGGCATTCAAAACATGGAGAGAATTTACAGCCAAGGAACGCTCATTAATACTTAGGAACTGGTATAATACTTGCGAGAAAAATAGTGATTATATAGCAGAAGTTATAACTGCTGAGTCTGGAAAGCCGTTGGCTGAATCTAAAAGTGAAGTTGCTTATGGTAACTCGTTTCTGGAGTGGTTTGCTGATTGTGCTCGTCATATTAATGGAGAAATTATCCCCAGTCCATGGCTTAACAAGCACATCTTGCTTACAAGGCAGCCACTAGGGGTAGTGTCTGTTATTACGCCATGGAATTTTCCTTTTGCTATGATAACTAGAAAGGCTGGCGCTCTTATGGCTGCAGGCTGTACATGTGTAATCAAACCCTCTGAAGAAACTCCTTTATCGGCTCTGGTTGCGGTTGAGCTCGCAGAAAAAGCTGGTGTTCCTCAAGGTGTCGTCAATGTTATCACAACCAGCAGAAAGAATGCTGCCCAAGTTGGCACTGCTATGTGCGCAGATGATGACACTCACTGCGTATCTTTTACTGGCTCGACTAATGTTGGTAAGATTTTATACAAATATGCTTCTAGGAACGTCAAGAGAGTTGTTCTTGAATTAGGTGGAAATGCTCCGTTTATAGTCTTTCCCAGTGCTGATATAGAAAATGCTCTAGAACAAGCAATGCTTGCTAAATTTAGGAATAATGGTCAAACGTGTGTCTCCGCAAACCGATTTCTGATACATACAGATGTTTATGATAAATTTGTTAGTGGGTTTAAACAACGTATTGAACAAAAGTGTATACTAGGGCCTGGGAAAAAAAAGGGAGTTACTTGTGGCCCTTTAATCAATAATCAACAAGCAAAGATGATATCTCAATTAGTAAATGATGCCTTGCGCGAAGGCGCACACCTTTTGATAGGCGGCCAATTTGCAACCGAGCTTGGTAATAAGTTTTACAAGTCCACAATTTTAACAAATGTATTGCCTCATATGAAAATATTCCATGAAGAAATTTTTGGTCCAGTTGTACAAATCACGAAGATAAAAAGTGAAGAAGAAGCCATTGAGTTTGCAAATAGAATTAATGGCGGTCTTGCTTCTTATGTTTTCACAAAAGACCTTGGGCAGGCTTTCAGAATGTCAAAAAGACTTGATTATGGCATGGTTGCAATTAATGACGGTGTATTATCTTGCCCAGAGTCAGCATTTGGAGGAACTAAAGAGAGCGGAATTGGTAGAGAAGGAAGTTTACATGGCGCTTTAGATTACACTGATATTAAATACACGCTCCTATCTGGTCTGTCTAAGTAATAATTAAATATTTTATTAGACGCAAATAATGTTTTAAAGACGTTACGAAACGCAAGACAAGTTAAGGTTCATTCAAGACAGATATAGATATAGCCGATAATATATTTTACCGCTATACTTGATTTTTGATCAAATTATTTATTCCTGTAGGTACTTTTTTGTATAATATTTTATTAGGATTTGCATTTTGATAAGTTGGAATTATATATTTTACATGGATTTTACTATTATTTTTAAATTTATTTTATTTTATTTTTGTTATAGATAGTTCAACTCAGTTGTGCACGCGGCCCTATGTGTGCGTGGGCTTGTAAATATACAACTTTCATTCGTGTGGCAGTGACGCGGCAGTCGGACGACGACTGCCACACGAATGAAAGTTGTATATTTACAAGCCCACGCACACATAGGGCCGCGCGCACAACTGAGTTGAACTATCTATAAAAAGTTGAAGACTGGGGGTCATGCAAGGGGATTTTCCACTCTAAGTAAGGATTAGTGGGTCTTTACATGGAGTAAAGTAAAGTAGGAGTAAAGCCCTTTCAATTCACTCTTCTTTCTTTTTTAAGACAACTCCCGCAATAGGAATATGTCCTGTGTCGCGGGGGACTTTAGAAACATACATGTAACGAACACAAAGAAAATCCAGACTCGGAACAGTAATTTGTAGATAACACAAAGTGTGGTCCCATGTGCACAACACTCAGTGCCGCGCTTAAGCCACTACTCGATCCGTGCAGTCATCATTATTGTTATTTTCTTATTTAATACAAAGTATCAAAACTTTTGAAAGCTATACTTACTTCAGTACTTATATTTTGAAATGTACATACAAAGCATTTAGTGCGTTTTCAAAGACAAGGTGGTCTGCTTTGAAGTAAGTTCTTAAGAGTAGGATTTCGCAATTACTCTTATGCTAAAGTATCCTTAGCTATTACTTCATCTCTACGGTATATCGGTCTGTATCGATCAAATAATTACTAGGAATTGAAATGTTTTGAATAGATCCATCTCAAATCTCGTTGGTGTCGTCGATGAAAATATTCAGAGTATATATCATCATCATCATCATCAACAGCCTTTAATAGTCCACTGCTGGACATCAGCTTCTCCTTAAAAAATAAGTTTTGGCCTACTATACCACGCTGGCCAGACGGGTTTGTATAGGGTTTGAAGTTTTCCTTCTCTCTGCAGTGCTGTTGTTCTGCGTATTTTTCTACCCTAGTCGCCTCTTACGACACCCACGGGATAAACAGGGGTGGTGACACTCTGTTTTCTTAATCCGTCACCACACGGACATATACCTGGTATATATATTTTGATTATACTCTTATATATACAGATATATAATATTCAGATAAAATCGAATAGATGTTAGTTTCTGAATAGACACTTAAATAAATATATTACATTGTGATGCCAAATATAATAGAATGCTTGCTTGCTGATAACTAGCATAAAAATAACGACCTGACACATACGACCTAACACGACAATTATTGCAGAAGCATATTGTGAAAAAACACAATACAAACAATCCATACTTGTATTAACATATAATTGTGAAAGTGCGTTTTTTGTTTGTTTGTTACGCTTTCCCCGGAACAACTAAAGCGATTTTAAAAAAAAATTCACACCCTCAATCTTTTTTTCAAGAACTATCGCGCGTGACCCCGCACTGTGAGATAGTTGAGGACAAATTATTCTCCCCCCAATCCGATTACAGCGGAGATCTATGTAAAAGTGAAATAAGAATTTTAGGACCTGGTTGCAGTGCCACTAACCTGGTCCAATTGCATGCATTGCAACGATTTACAGACCGTTTATTTTCTGTTAGGGTGGTTATGTCGGACTCGAACCGACTAAAATGTAATGCATGCCGCCGCCGTCTCGGGTAACAGTAGCCGGGGAACCAGGTGTACCATTTACAGATCCAGTTTTTTTATAAAATTCAAAATATAAAAAATAGTTTGAGTTTTGCTTGAGTGATCTCCGCCTTAACCGTTGACATGTACATTATAGTCAAACATAATTCTGACTTAAATCAGTTTAGTTAAGTTTCAGCAAACATTTTGGGATTAGTTACTTGCCTGATTGAAGTCTGTATCTTGCAAAACATCTTTGTTACAGAATACAAGAAGTGGACGACAGTTTCTTTGAAAAGTTTGGGTCTATATTGAAACAAGTCTCACAAAAAGCAGCGTTAGAGGAATCCACCCCTTTGGCTCCTTTGAAAGAGATTGAGGAAAATGACGGCGAGCAAAAGGTGGAGAATTATTTACAGACCGAAACTCGAAGTATACCCCGAGATTCTGACAGCGGATGTGAGACTCTGCTGGACACAGACTCCGAACCCGACGAACATGAGAAAATAGACCGCTACGTGGAGGCTGTTGGTTGGAATGTGAGTACCTAATGATTTCTATTCTGTTGTGGTTCTGTTTGTGTGAGGCTGTCACACACTCACACGTCTATAGCTATATAAGATAACTTAGTTTGTCTCCTGTCGGTCTGTAAAGATACTTTCTCTAAAACGCGTATATATATTAAGTTGAAATGAACATCTAATTCATCCAATATTTGCGGTCCCTTGAAGCTGTGAAGTAATCAAATCACTAAGCCTAGTCAATTAAAAGTTGACCCTGTTGAGACTTGTCTTTTAATCAATTTGGACTCTTCGCTAACCTAAGAGAATCGAAACCTGGTTTAAAGCGAGGATGAAGTAAAAGTCCCAAAAAAGTTGTTTTTCACTTTTTTACAAACTTTACTATAAGATTGAAAAAATGACTTTTACTTATCTATGAAGTGGGAGGATTTACTATAACTCTCGTTTTATATATACTGAGCCAAAGTCAACTGATGTGTTCCGACGAAACGTAGCTTCTCGATACTCTAGTAATTTAGTAATTCCTGCGTTGATTGGTGAACATACTCTAGGATATAGACTCTGAATTTTTACAGCTAATGGTACTTAAAAATAACGCCTAATAAGTATTTTAATTTAAATTGCTGCCAATTTAGGCATATTCTGTAAATTATTAAACCGTTCTTAAATTAGCGACATAAATAAACTTACCCACATTTAAAGATACGAGAATTAGAAGTAAAACGCACTTCGTTTAGCTGTATATTAACAATATTAACATTATATTTATAGGAAACAACCTATATCCAATATCGCTTGTGAGGAAATAATGATAATGAATACCTTCCACTATAAACATTTAATCGCAGTGGAAATCATTCTTAAGTGTTACAACATCAGTTGTTGTATTTTAGATGTTTAAGTATTCCCCCGACCAGGCAGCCAGCTCTTAACTGAACTAGACATTGGGCTCCACCAATCTTAGGAAAGTGTGTCGCGTTTAATTTTGGTCTACGTTGGAACGTTGCAGTGACATTAACCCGAAGTATTTGCTATCATGGGCAATATTCCAAGGTGATGTCACGATTGCAATTCTTCTGATTCGAAACTTTTTTTATCAAAAAAATAAAAATAAACAGTAGAAACAATATAACGGCGGTCGTTTTTATTATATTTTTCAAATCCACATTTACATGAATGAAATATGAAAAGACTTCTTTGTATAGCCCTTTTTTAGGCATGAGGAGAATACAATTTGAAATACTTAAGTATTCTGTATTTCATATTCCTGTTTTGTAGCAACTTTATAAGTACAAAAAGTGCAGAAGTCTCAGAAAACCAGATGAAAACAATTGTCGAGGTAATTGACAGTTTGTTAAGAAAATAAAAATGTAGGGTATACAGTATGACAAATATATATATAAAGTTGGTTTGTGTACGCTTAAAAAACTCAAAAAGTTCTGCACTGATTTAGATGAAATTTCTACCCGATATACTATAGATACTATACGGCTTCAAAGACTGTTTTATATCTAATTAATATTATTTAACGGGAATTAACGCGATCTCTTATTTAGGGTATTACATACCTCTGGTTTGCCTGACGTTTCGACCAGGTTGCACCGGCCGTGGTCACAGGCTGACTGGCTCATCGGCGCACGCCCTCCGTCGTCGAATCCGTGAAGTAGAAGGCTCTTCATCTACCCGCACATTTTCGATATTGTTTTTGTGTCGCCATGTACCGTCACATACCACACTAACAGTGTCCCTATTCTGTAAGCAAACCGATGAGTCCCTATTCTGGTGTTTAACCGATTGCGCAGAAAAGCGAGGTGGTATGTTTTTTAACACTGGATTCCACGCTGTAGATAATTTAAAACCATCTTCCCGATTGAAAGTTTTATGCTTTTTAATCTCAATCGCTTCACGTACAACTCTTGAGTAAAAGTGACGTTCGGTGGAGAGGACTTGCGTGCGGTGAAATTCAATCCAGTGGTTGATGCCTGCATCGAGTGCATGTTCTGCAATCGCTGATTTGCTCGTCTGTCGGTTCTTCACAGCAGCGATATGCTCTTTGACCCTTTCTGCAATAGTCCGCTTAGTTTGGCCTATGTATGAGCTTCCGCAGCTGCAGTCTATTTTATAAACACCCGGAGTTTGTAGTGGCAATGTATCCTTCGGTGTGCCGACGATGTTGTGAACCTTTATGCCTGGTGTGTATACTGTCGGAATGGAATATTTCTTTAGTACAGACCCGATCTTGTCCGTAACTCCCTTGACATAAGGCATATAGGCCGGTTGCCTGTTCACTTCTGGATACTTGCGTCTTATTTTCGGTTGCTTCCGTCCTCCTTTCACTTGATATCCGTTACCTTTGAGTACCTCCTGAACATGTTTTAGCTCCTGTTCTAAATGTTCAGGGTCACAGAGATCGTAAGCTCTGTTTTTGAGTGAAGTCATAACAGATTGCAAGTGCCGGGGGTGATGATGAGACGTGGCGTGTAGGTATCTGTCCGTATGAGTAGGTTTACGGTACACACAGTGTGACAAGGACCCATCCGATCTCACGGCTACTTTAACATCTAAGAAGTCTGTTTTATATCTATTATTCGCATCAGTTTTGTGCTTCAATTCTCATTGATGCAACCACAATGTGCCAAAGCGAAGCGTGGCAGCGTACAGCTATTTTTAATAATTTATTTTTGCGGCACAAAAACTTAAACATATTCGAGTATAATACATAATTTAAAAGATTACCGAGGTGAGGACACAGATAGATAAGAAACGAAGACAAACATTCTTCTTTGGAATGACATTGAAGTAATTAATATTAACTCTTAACAATATATTCTGTTAACTTTTTTTGGCCTCTTTTTTTGGATATTCTTCAATCTAATATATTTCTTGGTAAATAATAGTTCTTATTTTTAAGATTAATTTGGAATTATGACGATAATTAACATTTCATAATATACGTTGAACCTTGAGAAGTAGATGTTTTAAATACAGTGCAAATAACGCTCTAAACGTTTTTCGTGTGGTCACTATACCTATCTCCCTTCGCCACTCCCCCTTTTACCTTTACCTGTACCTGCAATACCTACAATACCTACTCGTCACTATTGTTTGTTGTCGTCCAAGTTTGTAGTGTGTTTTTATTGTATATAATGTTAAATTGTTCCTAACAAGCAAAATGGATATTGCAAGCAGAGGAATAGGTGTCGGTGGTAAAAAAAAAACATTATCGGAAATTATTCGAGTGTAAGACCTACGTTAAAGTTAAAGATATTAAAAATATATATTTCAATGTATTCTGTGATAATATTTAAAATAATATGGATTTGCTATTATTAATGTTAAATATATATGTTAAAGACGAGTTCCGCTTAAGCTTCGAAACTGTTCTTAAAATACCCAAAGGTGTACATACACTACGTTGGATCAATTGAGTACATTGTGTAACGAGTTCCTCTATGTACGTAGATGCAATGTTGATTGTATAGACGCAACATCCGATCGTCGACTGGCACTCGTCCAGAACATTTTTTTTTCTTTTCAAATCTTATTTTGTCAACTTCCTCTTCAAGGTTGATCTCAATGACCTTCCTGTCTGTATTCAGACCATTACGGGCCAGTGTCATTCGCCTTTGGTTTAAATACTTCACAACCTACATGTTTTATTTCCCTTTTATAAGTTTTTACCTTCATGTAGATGTATGAAGTGAGTGATGAAGCGACTGCCTTTAGCTAGCTAAAGTCAGACTCTGGATCACGCAATGATAATTCACCTCTGCAAGAAATTTACGTTTAGGGTAGGGGTATGTTTGAGTTTTAACAGCGTTACTGTGTCAGGTGACAACGCTGGCTGACTAAAATATTATAGGTATTCCACAACATTTAGTAGCTGTAATCTATAAAAATTCATGCTGCAGTTGTATAGTAATCAGTATATTCAATATAAATAGGTTAGAGTTCAAGCAATGAAAGCGATCTATATTAGTATGGTACCTAAGTTTGAATCTCAAATAGTACTGGGGAAACTGGTTGTTTAGTTAATGACATAACAGGAGACTTAGTTGTACACTAAGTGGGTAGGTAGGTATTAATGTTAACATCATTGCGAAAATGTTTCTTTGCATCTATTCATAATGCTTTCATCTAGATCAAAACCGTTTGGCATTTCATACATGTCTGGATATTCTCAAGATGCATTAAGTCAATCTGACTAATATCTAGTCGTTCCCTTTTGAAGATTAGTTAGCAGGATTTAGTATTTGGTACGGTGGACCTAGAAGAATTATACGAGTATGGCTCATCAATTCTGTGTCTAGCGCATTCTGTTCTTGAAAGGGTTCTTGTATTATGTTATTGTAAAATACCTATGAAACTAAATATTTTTTTCCTAATACATTAATCGACTGATCATGATGATATGATATGACATGCATTTCTGAGATGTGTCTGGGTATATAATCTCAAGTACATGTCAATATTAAGGTATATCCATGGCCGGGAAAGTCTTGTTTCTCTAGACAAAATAAGACTTTCCATCCATGGGAAGTCATAGTTTGTAAAAAATCTAACACACTTTTGACAAACACATTTTTGAATGATCGAATTCAAAAAGGTTTTTTATATTTTAAGGTTAATATGTAACTCTTGTTGCAACTTCCCAATTAATAAAAAATGATTTTAATTACTCAAGACTCTTGGTAGCAATGAGCAATAAAAGACAAAGCATTGTTGTTAACTTCTTATCGGATAATGTACAGCTACTATGACTATCGTTCTAAGCAGAATTAATGATATTTATCCACGTATTTCGTAACTGTATTGATTAATATTAAATTTTCACGAAAAGTAAATGTTCAACCGATCGTTGTTAATTTGGGCATACAAGTAGTACCTAAGGGGTATAGACACGTCAAAACGACAAATTTCATTCTTTCACCATATATTATGTATGTTCATCATCATAAGTTGTATGTTTTTGTGTAACAATAATCGGGTGATTCTTCATAAGCAAGTATAGAACTGTC